TTCCGCAAAGAACCTCATCATCAGCACCACCCGCCAAAATGACGGATGTATCTGCGCCAAAGTAACTCGATACTTCAAGCAAAAATCAAGCACAACCCTATCAAGGGGACCAAATGCGAAAGGATATAGTTATACGCTAAAGAATCCATCAATAGAGTCCGTAATACTCTCATTCGGGGGAAGAACATGCAGCGCTATCCCCTCGCTCCACCTGCAGTACCTCCCCGCCATCTCCAGTTGTTCCTCTATTATCAAGGACATCGTCTCCAAAGCGAAATCCCTCGACTCCCGAACGCCGGGAGCAGCACTCCCCACTCCCTGTCGGGTCGGCCCCGAAGTAGTTGCCATGACTATGGTAAAACTAACAGATTAGAGCAAGGGCATGCACAACACTTTTTGCGCCTGAAGAAATGAAGAACCTTATGCCAAAGCGGAAGGGTAGCTATCTAAAAATAGTGAGGTTTTGCATAGAAGCCGAAGCCGCCCCACATATATGCGAGAAGTAGCAATGACTCGCCTACCTAGAGTGAGCCCCGTGAAACCTACAGTCTCGATGCAGATCGACAGGGTGATATCCGATCCTGAAAGCATCCTTCGACGAGAAGCCAAGACTCGAGGAATCGTCCATATTATCTCCAATCTCGAGGCAGCACTCTACCTCAAGGATCCCCGCCAAAAAGAAGTCGGACTTTGGGAAGCTTTCAACGCCATCACTCGACGCAAAGCGGTACCTGATCTCTTGGTTCCCTTTCTAAAAAGAGGAATAAGTACAGGAAGCTCCGATCACGAAATCTTCACGAAGGTCCGAGGCAGCACCTGAGTACAGGAAACACCTCAGCAGAAGTCTATCCTATAGGTTTTAAGAAGGCTATCTGCAGCAAGATCAAAAGGGGCCCCCAAGTATCCAAAGCTAACCTTCATTCAGGATAACATCCTCGAAGGCCCCGAATTTCGGCAAATTCTCTACATACAACTCGGAAGGCCCCGACAGCCCGAGACTATCAGATCATTCAGGATCGGTCCGAGGTTCGACGATGGGTTCGAAAGAGAGCCGTGTCGATCGATAGAAGATTGAAAAGAAAGCTCGCGCCAGGAGTCACATCATCGGAATGACGTCGCCGAAAGGAGCTCAAGAAGTCAAGCATCAAAATCGTTTCCCATCACTTCGCTCTGGGAAACGCGGAGACTATCTATACATGGTGAAATCAGAGGATTTGATTTCTCGCTCTCAAGTCATTTCACAAGAATGCCTCCAGTCCTCGAGGACAGGAAGCCACTGCCGAGTTCCCAACCTCGGGTCTCGTCAAGGCCCGACTCAGAGAAGACAAAGATCGAAGCCAGGATTGAGGGGGAAGCTCCCAAGGCACACGGCTGAGTCTGACAGGGCCGGCCTATCCAGATCCTATGCTAAGGCATCGCATTAGGTCATCCCATCTCCATACTTTGTAATTAATGCCTACGTACTTGTAACCGAGTTCCTCTCCTATATAAAGGGGACTCACCCTACCTTGTAAAGGGCTGAGGTTGCTCCATTTTCTCAACAAATACAATAATCTCTCTCTCTCTCTCTCTCTCTCTCTCTCTCTCTCTCTCTCTCTTCTTTCTAAACTCGCTCTCTCTCATTGGCCTGAGGTCACTTAATATCCATCGCTCTTCTACTTGTTCTTCATCATATAGCTTAGTATTGGCCATGAAGAGCCTTGTTTAATCATATCTTCAACTGTTATCCCATCCCCGACTATCCCCGATAGCTCGAACTCGACCCTGACGTCGACCTCGAGGTCCCCTATCGACCAGACCAATACACGGGCAGCAGGCCCTTCGGTTCGATTACTATCTCGTTTTAACTCGCATTCCATTATTAAACTTCATATTATCAGCATCAACTGCTCTAACAACTAACTCAAGAATAGATCACGTATTTTTAGACTCTCATTTACAAATTTAATTGTTGTTACCATTTTCACGGTAAACAGTTTTAATTATTGTTCTTCATTTATTGCTTATCATTGGCTATAAGGAGCTTTCATTAATTTTACTCCAACCGTTGGTCATACTTTGATTGCCTTCGATAGCTCCCAGTCGAGCTCCAAAATCGATTTTGAGGCCCCCGAATCGACAAGATTGAGGCCCCGATTGTTAGCCTATCGTTTTAATTATCACCCTATCCTTAACTCTCATTTCATTTCTAAGTCTCACATATATAGCATCAACCCCTTCACAACTAGCATAAAAATAGATCACGTATTTTTAGAGTCTCATAATCAAATATAATTGTTATTACCATTTTCACGGTAAACAATAACATTTGATATTTCTTATCTATTAAGTTAGTATATGGGATTTTGAGAGATATATATTGTCACAAATGTTGGAGGATTTTTACTAGTTACAGTCCCCAGAGTAGGGGTAAGGTCTGCGTACACACTACCCTCCCCAGACCCCACTAAGTGGGATTATACTGGGTTGTTGTTGTTGTTGTACAGTTCTTACCTCATTATTGCTGTTGTCTTTCATAATCAATTATAATTTAATATATATTGATTTATTGGACCACTAGTAAGTGTCGATATCAACCCCTCGTCACTACTTCTCCAGAGTTAGGCTAGATACTTACTTGATATAATTTATTTACGTACTCATGCTACACTTCTTCACTAATTGTGATTGTATATTTTTTGGTAGTTATTTTGGCGCATTGGCGCAGCTACTGGGGGACTTTATGGTGAGCTACATCATATGCCACGATCCGCAGCACACAAAGTCTCCATCATGTCCAATTATTTTATCCTGTCTATTTTATATTCCCAACAGATGTTGTAGTAGTCCTAGTAGATGGTCATTTACTTGTGACACCGGATTTTGGCATATTCTAGTAGATGTTAATAGTTTTGCATTAATATTGTCACTTTTTTTTATTTATATCTTACTAATATTGTATGTATCCATGATTTTAAATCATTATTTTCTTTATTTAATGAAACTTATGATTTCAAAAGTAATAAAATGAATAATTATTTAGATAGTTCACTGTTGGCTTGCCTAATGGTAACGTTGGATGTCATCATGGCCTATAGTGGGTTTTGGGTCGTGACATTCTTATACAAGTGTCACGTAAATGAGATGATAATCAAAAGCACATTTTTGTGATACAAGAATTTTATAAAAAAAAAAAATCTTGAAACAATAGAATTTTTTTAAAAATATCTTGAAACAATAACATAACAATAATTCAAAATTCTTTATAAAAAGCAACTTTGAATTTGTAATACTCCTAGTTAATTAATGAAAAGTTGAATTAAGTTTAATCTTTTCCGAGCCTTAAGTTTTTTAAATTTGTATCGTGGCAATGTAACAAACATTTCACTTGGGGATTGGGATTCTACATTCAAAGTTCTCTTTCCAAAAGCTCTTAGAATATACTAAACGTACGTTTCTGATACCAAGTCCTTTTCAGTTTATGATAGCCATTATGTACAATTTTGGAAGGAATAGCCCTTTATCATTTCTAAATTCCCTTAATTGGTACTGCTAGTACTAGCGGGATTTATTTAAGAAAGAAAGCTACGTACACAGGGGGGACAATGTGGATAAGTTTAAATAACCTTAAATTATCTTCTAAGCAAAAGCTAAAGGGGACCAAAAGGCTTTTACATGAACGGTAAACCTGATCAAGAATTAGAGTTACCCTTTCATAATATATAGACCTCCGTGCATATTCTATTTCCAACTCCCAATTTGTGTTCATTAATTAGAATTAGAAATGTACTATGCTAGAATAAAGTAGTCAATGGCCTTGACCATTGAGGGCAAAACAGCGATAAAGGTAGAAGGCATAAAACCACCTAAACTATGAGTATTAGTGTATTTAGGGAAGAAGTCTTGGTTATCAGGTGTGAGGGAGTGTGGCAGGGTAGATTGCTGTTTTTCTTCAAATTTATAAGAAGTTCGAGATGGAATTTATATCTTTTCCCAAGTAATATATAATTAAAAACGATTAATAATAGAAGCACGTATTCCATCAACGTATCCAATAACCATTGAATTATTTGTATTTGTCGCGAAATATTGGTTTATATATTGAAATCTAGTCATACAATGTAGAATCCAAAACATATGTCTCGCTTAAATAGGAATTTGTTACCCATAATACCTTGGTCTATATTACTCCATTTTACAAATCTAATCTATTTGATTTTTATCGCTTGTCATTCAAAATAACTAATGTAATGTAGTAAAAAATATTAATAGCGAAACATTAAATTATCTTAAGTAAAGAACAATTTTAAGAGTAAATTTAAAGTGAAGTAATTGAAATACATCTTGCTTTCTCTTCTAAAACTGATATTTTCTGGAATTTTCCATATAGTTTTAAAATCCGTCTTACAAATACTGCTAAAAACAAATAAGATATGACAAGTAATAAGTTAAAGATAACTAACAAAAATCTAGAATTAATGTTTTTATTTTACTGTAATGACATAACTTGTTGGGATGCATTTTATAAAAAAGTTCATTCTTTTATAAGGAGAACGAAAATCAAAAGACATAAAGTAGCGCTGCTTATTTTAAAATGATGATTTTAATACTCTGCATATATTTGATCTCTTATATGTCAAACGCCTTTTTTTTTTTAATTCCGTCGTATATATTGAAACAAAGATAGTACTAGACATTAGTAGTTAGTAAGACAACTATTAGTACTACGGAATGTGCGATATCATATTATTAATGAATAACATAGCTATCATATCATTCATTATGTCAACAACAAAAAATAAATCTCACAGCTGTTGACATATGCATTTATTTTTTTTAAAGTAAACTGGACATATTAATATATTAAAGGCATTTATTACTCCACACTTGAAATAGCAAGCTCTCTTGACCCCATTTACTTGGTTCCTAAGAGCTTCATAGTACCCAGATGGAAGTCATATTTTTTATGACTACTGCTTCATCCGTACTAGTACAGTTTTAAGTTTACCCAACAGACTTCATCAAGATTAATTACTCGTACATTACAAGAAAAGGGACTTCTCAACTATAAACAATAATGAGAGTCCACACACCAAGTTTATATGGGTGTATTCATTTTGAAGAAGTTACGCAGAAATTGAAAACAATTTCCTTTGACTTCTGAATTAATAGTTTTGATTTTTGAGAAGTCAAGTTAATTGTTTCAATAAAAGTAAAGTAACTTCCTTTTTTGCTGAAAGAAGAAAAAAGAAATACAAGTACTCGTTCACACCCACTTAACTTTTACTAATAGTGGTTCCGTTATTCTAGTTCTGGACTGTACATGGGGGCCATAGTTTAAGGATAGCTCCAGAGACTATCTGCATCAGAATTTTCAGGTGATTCATCGTAAGATGTTGACTGATGCATCCTTGGCGGGCTAACAAGCATTGCCTCTGCCATTTCGTCCAGCAATTTTGGCATTCCAAAAATTTCCTCTTCATCCACAAATGTAGCTGCTACAGTAGTCGATGCCCCTTCATAATTTTCAGTTTCAGCCAGCACTTCATGACTATTGCTTTCTGAAATTGGAGGTGCTCTAGCAGCAGCAGCATTTGCAGCAGCAGCACGAATGTCCGTGGCCGAAAGAGAAGCCGGGACGGGGTACGAGTAAGCGGAATCTGGGAAATTTAAGGGAGCATCGGGACCTTTTAATGCCAAAGCTGCAACGTCATATGCAGCAGCAGCCATCTCAGGAGTGGAGAAGGTACCTAGCCAAATACGCGTAGTTTTTCGAGGCTCGCGAATTTCAGACACCCATTTACAGTTCCTTTGCCGAATTCCTCGAAAATTCGGATGCCTACGAGGTGATAGTACATTACCACTAGCAGAGCCAGTGGGGGAGAAGTTTTCTGAAGGGGGAGGATTGTCGCTTGGCGTAACGTCAAAGAAATGATCAGCCATGCAATACGACAAGTAGTGGAGATATTGCTACTTAGGCTTCTTTGGATATTGGATGATTGTGAGAGAGAATTTGGGCTATTTTAAGGTTGGACAGTAAGCGTGGGAATGTCGCGGATCACCTGCTTATGTTAAAACCCAATAAAGGCACTTGTTTTTGACATGTGCTGGCTTTGGAGCGCACACGTAATTGGGGCAAGCTAATAACTTAGCTGTTAAATGTGAAGCATAGCCTATTTCTAAATCAGGTACTTATGTCAGGCAATGTTTGCTTGTGTCGCACCAGGTGCCAACATCGTAGCTTGAAATTTTGAGTCATAAGAAATTTTAGCCAATGGAAAGCTAGAATTAGACACGTTATAAGCACCTTATGATGTCCATTTAATGTCTCATCACAATATTTTTTGATGAGGTCTTGCCCTAAACCGAATGAATTGTTGACCATTATATTTTTAATATATAAATAGACTTGAAAAGGGATATCGTATTGTCGCTGGGGCCTGACAACTTCAGGAATTTGCCTACCAAAAGCATCTATAGTCCACTCGCTCCAATTAGAGTCTGAACTTTTGTTCTTTGCGAAAAATAAATAACACATGAATTTTTGCGTGAAAATTTTCCTTATTCAAGGAGGAATGATCACGATTCTAACTCTAGAATTTCTCTCATCAAACTTATCGAGCTGAGCTTATATTATTTTTGATGATTAACCAACATTTGCAAAAGAACCATATCCCTTGAAGTCTACTAATCAGAAGCTTGAATTTTTTTTCTAGTGCAAGTTGGGTTGAGTTGGACAAAATAATTTGTACTGACAATCGATTTTCTTGAATATGTTAATAATTTGGAAAATTCATGGTCCAACAGGATTCATTAATTATGAAAATAATTACATGAAATGAAAAAGCATATGAAAAAGTCTTTTAGGAGATATATAGAATCCTTTAGGATTTGTTTTCTTTATGAGGTAACCGAATTATTTTAGGTTTTAGAGCCAAAGTTGGTCGGCCTCACTTCTATGTAAAGTATCACGGTGCTTCTATTTGAGGTTAACGCTTCTATAGTTATTCACACAGTTTCAGAAAATTCTCCTAAGCAAATGGCAATCAAAGTAAGAATATGCTTTCAAGAATTCAAGCTGAGGATCAGAAGAACTTGATCCTAAAGGCGAAGTTGATTAAGTATTTTAGTATTTAGGTTGAGTCATTATTCTCAAATTGTGACCTATTTTGCTTATTGAGAAGCGTAAACATAGTTTATCAAGTCTGAAGAGTTTGTTTTACTTTCTAGATTAGACTTTATAGTCATAAAAAGGGTACCTACAATTGGGTTGATCGTAGGGGTTAAGGTACTAGAGTTAGTCCCTTTGGTTATTGAGTTTTAACCTAACTTCTCTTTAAAGTTAGTGAAGTTTTGAGGCAAATCCTAGAAGGGTAGGTAATATTTTTTCCTCCCTCGAGCAAGGATGTTTTCTACGTAAAATAGCCTGTGTACTTCAAATTTCGCATTTCATTAAGTCTGTGTCAGAATAATTAGGTCAAAGAACCAGGTTCTTTGAAATATAAAAATTTGGCAAGACATACTTCACCTCCCTCTTATGTCTAGATGCGTTCTAAAATAACAATTGGTATCTTAGCAACAACTTTCAAAGTAAGGCTAACACCTTAAAAGGACTCGAGATGGCTACACCTCCAGGAATTCAAGAAGGACAATCAACTCTAAGGCTATCCACTACTTAATGGAAAGTCATATGGAAGGTGAAAAGAAAGCATGGAAAATTATGGAAAGCGAAGATTTAGATGTCACGACCCAAGTTACCCTTCCGTGAACTGTCGTGATGGCACCTAGTCTCTACGACTAGGTAAGTCTATTAATTGCGGAAATAAAATGAAAGCATAAAAGAAAATAACTAACAGATATCTTTAATAAGGAGATAATGTGCCACTCGGCATGTACAATAATCATTTTCCCAAAACCCGGAATATCGTAAGTCACAAGGTTCTAAAGAATTCTAACTGCTCTATACATCAATGTCTGAAGAAAACAAAGGAAAGTTAACATAAGGGGTAAAAGGGCACTCTGAGGTCTACTGACGCGGGCATATGTACCTTGAAGTCTTCTGAAGCAGCAACTGCATAACTAAACTCGAGCCTGATAGGAGATACCTGGATTTGCACACGAAAAACATGTGCAGGGAAGGGCATGAGTATACCACAACGGTACCCAGAAAGTGTCAAGCCTAACCTCGATCGAATAGTGACGAGATCAGGTCAGGGCCTTACTGGTATAAATATAATGAAATAAGACAATGAAATATCACAGTAAAAATAAATAGGGAAATCTAACAAGGTTAGAAATCAATGAAGGACAACAGCTCAATACATAGTGATAACAACAGGGGATCTCCCAGGATACTGTCCCATAGTCCCAAACGTAAAGGTGCAGGGGGAGCTCCCGAAATACCGTTTCGTAGTCCCAAAGTAAATATGCAGTGCCGGGAAAGAGGGGGGAGGGGCTCCCGGAATTCCATTCTATAGTCCCAAAGTAAATATGCAGTATATGGGGATCTCCCGGAATACCGTGCCGTAGTTCCAAAGTAAATATGATGTACAGGGCATCTCCTGGAATACTGTTCCGTAGTCCCTAAGTAAATATGCAGCTCAACTAACAGAAATAAAAGTTACACCAAGAAAATCACAATTTAGACTATGTCCAAGTCAAGGAAGAACAGGAAATTTCACTAAAACATGTTGCATAGAGCTTAAATAGGAAGTTAAGGCACGCAGGCATGCTTTTCTAAACTAAACAGGATAATTACGTATACTAGTATAGCTCAATTAAAGGAAAACAAATATTTTTGCTTAATGAAAACAGAGTTTTTTTCAACAAATAGCTCGTGTACGCACTCGTCACATCACGTATATGTCGCTCGTATATCAAACAGTACCAAATTCTAAGAGGACTTCCCTCACACAAGGTTAGGCAAGCCACTAACCTCGAACCAAGCTCAAATCAATCCGACACAATGCTTTTTCTACGAATATCCAACTCCGAATGGCTCAAATCTAGTCAAAACCAATTACATTACATAAATATAGCTACAAGAAACTAATCTAGCTAACGAAATCAATGCTAATGTAGGTAATTAGAAAAATGCCCAAAAAGCCTCTTCGGGCCCACGTCTCAAAATTGGATAAAACTCTCAAAATATGAACACCCACTCACTCACGAGTCTAACCATACTAAACTCAAATCCGATACAAAAAGTTCGATCAAAACCCCCAATTTTGGTCTAAGAACTTTCTCAATTTTCTTCAAATTTTCACCCCAAATCCGAAATTAAATGATGAAATCAAGCATGGATTAGTGAGATATAATCATAAGGGAGTTAGGAATCATTACCCAATGACTTCCTCTGAAAATCTCTCAAAATTTCACCTTCTACCGAGCTCCCAATTCAATTTTGTGATATGAACTCAAAACCCTCATTTTGAGCTTTAAATTCTGCCACGTGATTCCTTAATCGCGATCGCGAAGCTCAACTTTGCTGCCCAGGAAAATAGCTCTACGCGAACGCGTAAAACTCCACATGAGCGCGATGCTCTGACTCTCAAACCTACGCGATCACGAACTGTCCATCGCGTTTGCGATGAGCAAAGCGCGTGGCCCAGCTTTGATCCACTCAACCCTAGGAGATCGCGACCTTCTCCTCGCGTTCGCGATGCTTCCGCTGGCCACACTTTGGAGATCGCGAGCTCCTCTTCGCGATCGTGAAGAATAAAACTTCTGCAACAAAATACCAAAAAAATCTGCTATCTTTCCAAAGTCTAAAATGATCCGTTGAGCATCTAAAACACACCCGATGCCTCCGGGACCTCACCTAAACATACCAACCAATCCTAAAATACCATAAGAACTTAGTTGAGCCCTTAAATCACATCAAACAATGCTAAAAACACAAATCACCCTCCAATCCAAACATAATGAACTAGAAACTTCCTAATTCGACAACTGATGCTGAAACCAACCAAACACCATCTGATTGAACCTAAATTTTGTACACAAGTCATAGTCAACACAACAAACCTACTCCAACTTCCTGAATCAAAATCTGACCCCGATATAAAAAATTCCACTACCGGTCCAAAATTTAAATATTCAATTTTTTCCATTTCAAGCCTAAATGAGCTACGGACCTGAAAAACACAATGCGGACACACCCCTAAGCCCAAAATCACCCAAAAGAGCTAACGGAATAGACGAAATCTCATTCTGGAGCCGCCTTTACACTATTCCAACTACGGTCCGAATTTTAATGCTTAAAGCTCCATTTAGGGACTATGTGTCCCAAAAGCACTTCAAAAACCAAAAAGAATCTTCCCGGCAAGTCAAAGTAGCAGAAATAGATGCGGGGAAGTAGTTAATAGGGGATTGGGGCGCTAACTCTCAAAACGACCGGCCGGGTCATCACATTAGATTTTGTTTACTTTGAAAATGGTAATTACAATTAGATTTGATTTTGTGGTTCTAAAAATACGTGATCTATTTTTATACTAGTTGTTTAGGCAATAGATGCTAAGTGAAAGACAGAAACAAGATAAGAGCTTGAAAAAAAGATGATAACCAGACCGAATGGCCGACATTCGGGGCCTCGAGCTTGCTTATTCGGGGCCTTGGGATCGAGTCTGATGTCTCACTGAGGGTAGTCGATGGATGACTAATAGTTACAACAAAATCAATGACGACTCTTTATGGCCAATAATAAGCAATAAATGAAGAACAATAAATGGAACACAATGAATATAAGTAATAAATGCAAGTAATGAGATCAAGGGAATATGTTAGAGAGCTGAGAGAATGTTTTTGTGTATTCAATATTGAGCAACAAATCCCTTTCCAAAATGACAAGTATCCCCTTTATATATGAGGGGGGAATCCCAACATAGTACAGTGCATTTATTGAAAAAATATAAGGGCTGGTACAACCATTTAATGTCCTGATTGGGCTCTGAACTAGCCTACTAGACTTTTCCAGCTCTAGTCGTGTGCCTTGGGGACTAC